TAGTCATCCTGCGATCAACCAGGACTCCGAGGTCCTTCTCCTCTTCCATTACTTCCAACCGATGCATCCCCAGCTTATAACTAAAATTCTTGTTAGTCATCCCTAAATGCATAACCTTACACTTCTCACTATTAAATTTCATCCTATTACTATTACTCCAGTTTACCAGGTCATCCAAATCTCCCTGCAGGATATCCCGATCCTTCTCCGAATTGGCAATACCTCCCAACTTTGTGTCATCCGCAAACTTTATCAGCCCACTCCTACATTCGGTTCCGAGGTCAGTAATGAATAGATTAAATAAAATCGGACCCAAAACCGAACCTTGAGGAACTCCACTGGTAACCTCCCTCCAACCTGACAGTTCACCTTTCAGTACGACCCGCTGCAGTCTCCCCTTTAACCAGTTCTTTATCCACCTCTGGATTTTCATATCGATCCCCATCCTTTCCAATTTAACCAATAATTCCTCATGCGGTACCGTATCAAACGCTTTACTGAAATCGAGGTATATTAGATCCACCGCATTTCCTTTATCTAAAAAATCTGTTACTTTCTCAAAGAAGGAGATCAGGTTGCTTTGGCACGATCTACCTTTTGTAAAACCGTGTTGTAATTTGTCCCAATTGGCATTGTCCTCAAGGTCCTTAACTACTTTCTCCTTCAAATTTTTTTCCAAGTCCTTGCATATTACAGATGTTAAACTAACAGGCCTGTAGTTACCCGGGTCACTTTTTTTCCCCTTCTTGAAAATAGGAACCACATTAGCTATTCTCCAGTCAAATGGTACCACCTCCGAGTTTACAGATTCATTAAAAATTATCGCTAACGGGCTTGCAATTTCTCGCGCCAGTTCCTTTAATATTCTTGGATGAAGATCATCCAGTCTGCCTGATTTAGTCCCATTAAGCTGTTTGAGTTTGGCTTCTACCTCGGATACGGTAATGTCAACCCCCACTCCTTTATTCCCATCCGTCTCGCTTCCAGGGTAGGTGAGGTAATATATTTTATTGGACCAACTTCTGTTGGTGACAGAGAGAAGATTTTGAGCTATACAGAGCTCTTTTTCTGATCTGGGAAAGGTGAGCATCACAGCTAAATACAAGATGGAACAGATTGATTAGCATAGGTAGATAGCATGTATTCTAAGGAACCATTCAAAGTGGAGTGGCCTATTAACTCCACCTTGAATGGTCCCTTGGAATATGTACTAACTACCTATGCTAATCAATCTGTTCCACCTTGTATTTAGCTGTGATGCTCAGGGCATATCTACACTACAAAATTAAGCCAACCTAATTTATGCCAGCATACAGTTGCTGCAGTAATTACATTTCTTGTGCATATCTATACTTTGCTCCTTGTGTTGGCAGTGTGTGTCCTCACGAGGAGCACTTCCACCATCTGAACTGTCAGTGTCGGGCACTGTGGGACAGCTTCTGAAAGCCAGCAACAGTTGATGTCAGTCTAACTCAGGGGTGGGCAAACTTTTTGGCCTGAGGGCCACATCTGGGTATGGAAATTGTATGGCGGGCCATGAATGCTCACAGAATTGGGGGTTAGGGTGCAGACTCTGGGGTGGGTCCAGAAATGAGGAGTTCAGGGGCTGGGGCGCGGGGGGGGAGAGGGGAGGGCTCCAGCTGGGGGGTGCGGGCTCTGGGGTGGGGCTGGGGGATGAGACATTGGGGGTGCAGGAAGTTGCTCCAGGCTGGGACAGAGGGGGTTAGGGGTGCAGGCTCCAGGCAGCGCTTACCTCAAGCAGCTCCCAGAAGCAGCAGCATGTTCCCCCTCTGGCTCCTACGTGGAGGCATAGCCAGGTGGCTCTGCATGCTGCCCTGTCCGCAGGAGCAGTGCCAGGGTTTTTGCCGCCCTAGACGGCAGCGCTCCTCCTCTGAGCATTCGGCGGCGGGGGGTCCTTCCGCTTCGCGTCTTCAGGGCACTTCGGCAGCGGGTCCCGGAGCGAGTGAAGGACCCGCCGCTGAATTTCCGCCGAAGACCCGGAGCGGAAGGACCCCCCGCTGCCGAATTTCTGCCGAGGGCAACAAAATGCCACCCCCCAAATCCTGCCGCCCTAGGCAACCGCCTAGGGTCGCCTAGTGGAAGCGCCGGCCCTGCCTGTCCACAGGCACCGCCCCTGCAGCTCCCACTGGCCGCGACCACACAAGCCACGTTAAAGTGCTGCCACGGCTGTGCTTTAGCGTTGCCAGTGTAGAGTAGCCCTAACTCTGTAGTGTACACCAGGGCCCAGAATATCTTTTGCAGACCTGAAGATCTCAGTGTAGCTTCAAAGCTTGTCTTGTTCACCAACAGAATTTGGTCGAATAAAAGATATTACCTCACCTATCTTGTCTCTCTAATATCCTGGGACCAACACAGATACAACACTGCATACAACAATGGAAATTAAAAGGAACAATCAAAGGGTGAAATGCTGCAACTTGCATGGAAATTATTTAAAAATACCATAATAGTGGCTCAAATGAAATGTATACCCCCACAAATTAAAAAAAGCCACCATGGCTAAGCAGCAGAATAAAAGAGGTGTTTAGAGGCAAAAGGACATCCTTTTAAAATTGTAGTAAAATCCTACAGAGGAAAATAAAAAGGAACATAATTCTTCAGACCATAAGACTTAAGGAAGTGTAAAAGCATAATTAGGTAATCCAAAAAAGGACGTAAAGAGCAACTCGCAAAAGATTAAAATGTTTTTGCTGTTAGTTTTTGTAAGGACATCAGCGACAGGAAGCCTGCCAGCAATCAGTGGGGCTATGAGACAATCAAAGAGGTAAAGGAGCACTCAAGGAAGACAAGCTGTTGCAGAGAAGCTAAAGGTATTTTTTGCATTCGTCTTCACTGCAGAGGATGTGAGGGAGATTCCCACACCTGAGCCATTGTTTTTAGGTGACAAATCTGAGGAACTGAACCAGACCGAGGCATCAATGGAGGAGGTTTTGGAACAAACTGATAAATTAAACAGCAATAAGACTCGAGTACCAGATAGCATTGACCCAAGAGTTCTGAAGAAATTGCAGAATTGTGGTATGTAACCTACTGATAGCTAATGTAACACTGATTTTAAATAAGGCTCCAGAGGCAATCTTGGCAATTACAGGCTGGTAAGGCTAACTTCAGTACCAGGCAAATTAGTTGAAATTAGAATTATCAGACATAGATAAACGCAGTATGTTTAGGAAGAGTCCACATAATTTTGTAAAGAAACATCATGCCTCAGCAATCTATTAGAATTCTCTGAGGGTGTCAACAAATGTGAATAAGGCGATCCAGTGGATATAGCATACCTGGACTTTCAGAAAGCCTTTGACAAGATCCCACACTAAAAGCTCTATAGCAAAGTAAGCAGTCATGAGGTAAGACTTAAGGCCCTTTCATGGATCAGTAACTGGTTAAAAGATAGGAAACTAAGGGCAAGAATAAATGGTCAGTTTTCACAACAGAAAGAGGTAAATAGCAGGGACCTGAAAGGATCTGTAACGGGACTAGTCATATTCATAAATGATCTGGAAAAGGGGGTATAAACAATGAGGTGGTAAAGTTTGCAGATGAAATTAAATTACTCAAGATTGTAACTCTTCAGTCAGCTTAGGATGTAACTAATAGATTTCACAGAACTGGGAGACTGGGCAACAAAATAGCAGATGAAATTCAATGTTGATAAATGCAAAGTAATGCACATTGGAAAACATAATCCCAACTATGCATATAAAATAATGGTGTCTAAATTAGCTGTTACCACTCAAGAAAGATCTTGGAGTCATAGTGGATAGTTCCCTGAAAACATCCGCTCAATGTGCAGCGGCAGTCAAAAAAGTGACCAGAATGTTAGGGACCATTAGGAGAGGGATAGATAATAAGCCAGAAAGTATCGTAATGCCACAATATAAATCTAAACACCTTGAACATTCTGTGCAGTTCTGGTTGCACCATCTTAAAAAGGATGTATTAGAATTGGAAAACGTACAGAGAGGGGCAACAAAAATGATTAGGGTTATGGAACAGCTTCCATATAAGGAGAGATTAAAAAGACTGGGACTGTTTGCTTGGAAAAGAAATGACTAAGGAGAGATATGATAAAGAGCTATAAAATCATGAATGGTGTGGAGAAAGTGAATAGGGAAGTGTTGTTTACCCTTTCACATAACACAAGAACCAGGGGTCACCTAATGAAGTTAATAGGCAACAGGTTTAAAACAAACTAGTTCTTCACACGCACACATAATTAACCAGTGAAA